GTTAAATACAAATGGAAAGATGCTAAAGCTCATTTATAATTAAAGAAATATAAAACAGCAATTTAATAATTTTTTTACCTATCAAACTGACACTGACTAAAATGTTTGCTAACCGGGTTGGTGAGAATGGAGAGAAACAGGAAGTGAAGACTGGTTCTGTGGCTGGAAAGCAAACATAATAGCTACAGAAATGTAAAATATGGGCGCTCTTTGTCTAAGGAGTTTCAGGCTTTAGGAATAAGTGTATTTCCACAATGTGGAAATGTCATTAACCTTAGCATTTTTTCTAATACTGAAAATCTGATAATTTAAATGCCCAACTTTATGATATACAAAGATATGACTATAAAATTAAGTATAAAATAGTTGTCCAAAAGAATGAAGCAGATCTGTGTATAAGACAACTGCCTTGATATGGCTGTCGCCATTTTGGTTAGTGACCGCCATTTCATACCTTAAGTTTCCATTTCCTCCATTACCCATCATCATCACTAAGTGAAACCAATGCGTGAGCAAGGCTTGTCCATATAAGGAATGGATTACAAATAATGACCCTGAGTGGCTGCCCGCGCAGCTAATGCAATTCCCGACCCGCTTACACCAGCCACTGCTATATAACGAAGCCCTTTCCACCCAGCTCTCTCTCTTCTTCCTTCTTTGCCAAGTACGCCACTGTGCCGCAGAGGCTCTACAATAAATCTCTCATAGGAGCTCTGTCGGTGTGTGGAGTGATCTTTGGCAGGCACCAGTTTCTTTCACTGTGTACACTGATGTTGGAAGGAGGTCCAATATATGCTATTAAGTCGGGGTAGAGGAAAGTAGTTGGAAGCCTGGTATGTATTGTACACAGAAAAAATCTCCATAAAGATACAGAAGAAATTGCTAACAATGAAATCAGAGAATGTGAGGAAGTGGGGATTTTAGTTTTTGTTTTGTTTCTATGCTCCTTGATTGTTTAATGATTATTTACATCTTTTTTAATTAAAAAAAATTAAACACTAGCTATTAACAAGAACTTTCATTTGTGCTTTAGTTGTGAGGGAGAAAGGACTTAAAAGAAGTAAGGAAAAAAGGGGAGTTAAGTACCATCAGAGCAAAAGGTGAGTTAAGCACAGATAGGCCTCCTTCCTCCCACCCAGCCTTAACTCCATCTGGAAACGCCACCCCCAGGACAAGAAATCAGAGTCAAGATCATGACAGATCCTCTGCTCACCAGGACAGTAAGTAAGGGGAGATGTGTTTGGGGACTGAACTGTCCGCACCAACAAATTATATCCATGCCCAAGCAACAGCACAAATAACTCCCAAAAGGAAATGGCTCATTTGGCTTTGGAACCTGTGTATTTTATCATTTTCATATGAATATGAACACATCTAGCATTCCATTTTGTTCAACAAGTGTGCTCCTCTAAGGTGCTAAAGCTCAGTAATAGAAAGAGAGCAAAAGTGAATCAAAGAACTGTGCTTATCGGGCCGGAGATTTAGCTCAGTGATTCCAGCACCTGCTTCATAAGCACAAGGACCGGAATTCGATCCCCAGTACCAAAAAAAAAAAAAGAAGAACTGTGCTTATCACAAAGTGACCAGAATCTAGTGAGGGCAGGAAACCCCCGCACAACCAACCAGAAAATGATTATTAGTGGTCTCACTGAAGAGATGGCACTTCTCAGCCCTGGACAATCTCTACACTACCTGATCTTTCTGATTTTTCCATTCTCTCAACTTTCTTCTTTTCCATATTTAGGGAAAATGGAGATCTGACAGCTGCCCTGTCACTTGCTGCTCAATTCAGATCACTAAATATAATAACCTCTCTCTTCTCTTTTATGTAACACTGGGAATTGAACCAAGGGTCTTCACACTGAGCTGTATCCCAAGCCCTGGTTTATTTTGAGACAGAGGTTTGCTAAACTGCACAGGCTGAGCTCAAACTTGTGATCCTCCTGCCTCAGCCTTCAGAGTGCTGGGATTACAGGCATGTGCCACCACGCCTGTCAACAGCACCTACTCTGTGCAAGAAATCAATTAGTGTTAGGTTAGATACACTTTTCAGTATAAAATGTGCTACTGTAAATATTTCTTTGAATAGTTTTATTTGAGGATTGCTTATTTTACCCAAACCACTGAAATTTCCCCCAAATTCCAGTAAATTAGCTTGAGTTATACCTTAACTATATATACACATATATTACACATATATATATATATATATATATATGAAATAGTTATTATATATGTATATACATATATATACACACATACATACATATATATATTCCATTTACTGGTTCAGATTTCTGGTTCAAAAAATAAACACACCTAGAACAACCATGAAAAATATTAGGCCAGGATTGCAAGTCTATAATGGAAAGTACATTTTTTTTTTAAATTGAGGATCAAACTTGGGACCTTGTGCTTGTGAGGCAGGCGGTGGAACCACTGAGCTAAACCCCTAGCCCCTGGAAAGCACATTATAAACCAAACAAACTGGGCGTGGTGGTGCACACCTGTAATCCCAGCACCCAGGTGGCTGAGGCAGGAGGATTGCTGTGAGTTCAAGACCAGCCTGGGCTACATAGTGAGTTCCAGGTCAGTCTCAGCTACACAGAGAGACCCTGTCTCAAAAAACCAAACCAAAACAAAACAAAATAAAACAAAACAAAACAGCAAACACACAAAAAACTAAAGCTTGGCATAATTTTTTCTGGGTGTTTGCTTTTTGAGTTTTTTGTTTGTTTTCTTGGTTATAAATGTGCAAATTTTATAGCCAAAATTACATGTGTTTGGATCTGAGTTTCAGTTTTCTCAAAGGTACAATCTTCCGACTTCACAGAGTCAGTGTAAAGATTATTAAAGCCACAGAATCAACCTATGTAAAGCATCCAGTTCGCTGGCTGACACAGAATAGGCCATCAATAAGTGATAGTTAAAATAACCCATGTTATTTTTACAAATTTTAACTCAGGAAAATCATGGGGCAGGCACAGGTCCCGGGATCCAGAAAGCAAGAGTACAAAATAAGCTTCTTTTTGCCATACTTAAGAAAAACCAGAACACGCCATTTCATTTATGACCACTCTCAGAGCAGGTCAGCACAGTTGTAAACGTGTGCATTGGGATCTGCTCCAGAAATCCCAGTTGGCCACTCACTTGAGCAAGATGCCCACAGATGTCCTTTCCTTGAAGGAGATTCCCTAAAGGAGATGTCCACCCTTGGCTAGAATGGAGTTAAGGCAGGCCTTCATTGCATTCTGCAGAGACCTCGTGGGTGTGAAACTGAACAAGCTAACCCACAGGATGCTCTTAGCACAGCGTCTGGCAAGATGAAGTCCCCAAATGCTAACTCACAGAATGGCAGCGACATCCAGTACCCCACAGAGCCACTGAGAGGAGTCTGTGTAGAGCTAGCAACACTGTGTGAACTATTTCAGATACATGTAATGTTTCTCAAATAGTCTATTGTGGTTAATAAAATACTAATTACATTAGCACTCCTGCTCATAATAGCTTTCAAAACACAAGAAATGACTGTTGAAAATATTCAGACTCTAGAGAAACACACAAAGTAAAAAGTGAGTTTATTTATCTACCACCACCTTTCCAAGGCTCTACATCCACTTTCTAGGGGAGACCCCAGGAAAACACTGCAGTGTGTACTACTTGGGTCCTGGTCCTCAAAATATTATGCAGAAATGGCATAAATAGGTTTATTAAATGGGGGTATACCGTATATCATTTGCTTACCCAATAGTAAATCTTTCCAAGTCAATGCACAAAACCCTAACTTACTCTTTTCAGCTACTTAATACTTCAGAATATGGGTAGACATAATTTATTAATCCACTAAATAGGCATTTTGCTTACCTCCAATTTTTAGCTATTAAAAATAATCCCACAGTGAACACCTTGTCTGAAGGGCATTCGGCACATGTGTAGCTATTTCTGTTGGGTAGCTGCCAAAAGGAGGATCCTGCTAAGTCAAAGGTTTTGCACATTTTATAATGCTGATTTTTGCTAAACTGTCCTCCGAGAAGACGTCCCCGTTGTACTGTCACTAGCCATCTTCTTCAAAACACAAGAACAAAAAATATATTATCATAGAGGCGTGTGGTGATGCATGCTTGTAATGCCAGCACTCTGGGCAGCTGAGGCAGGAGGACTGCCAAATTTGTGCCCAGCCCAGGCAATTTAGCAATTTCTCCAGACCCTGTCTCAGAATTTTTAAGAAAAAGGGAGATGGAGGTTGAGATACAGCTCAGTGTGTAGGCCCTGGGTTCAACCTCCAGTACCACTAAATAAATAAATAAACAAACCATATTCTCATGTGGAGAAAACAAATATTTCTACAATGAAAAGTACCCTTCACCTTAAAATGAGATGGGAATCACATCTCCAAACCCTTCCTTTGCCCTTCTTAGCACTTGAGCACCCCTATGCTACCAGCTAAGCTCACAGCACGGCCTCTCTTGCAGTGACCTGGTTTGCACTGAAACTACTTTTCTAGGAAACCTAGCACTGTCCAGAAGCCAACAGGGCAGAAGGGAAGGAAGGTAGAGCCGAGGTGCTCCCACCCTCACCAGTAAACCACGCAAACAGAATTGTTCTGTGCAGTGCTCCCATAAAGCTTGATTCTACTACACGTTTTAAAGCCACAAAGGAGTAAAAACCTCTTAATCAATAATCATTGGCCTACAGGTAGTTTACATGCTTCATTTTGTTCCTCAATATTATTACGGTGAGGCGCAAGAGCAGATAAAGGTCATGTTGGTAATTAAAGCTATATTGTAGAAATATGCACACCCAAGATATGATTAAATAAGAAAATATTACTCGGTTCAGTATCATCATTAAACTTGCATTAATTTATAAATATTTAAATGTACCATATGATGATCATAAATAATCTGTTTTTGTCAGTTTCTAAAGTAATACAACCCATAAACCCTTTGAAATATTACTGCAGAAAGAAACAGGCAAGAACACATGCAAGCCAGACTTACATTCAAATGCTGTAGTTGTGGCTTCAGGCAAAACCTGGCCTATCACATCCTAAACAAAGACAGAATAAAGAAACACAATTAGCCATCTTCTTTATTGCTAACATGTGGCAAATCCTAGAGGAAATATGAGAACCTGGGAAAGATTTTTGAAATGTCGGCATAAACTATAAAAACATTAGCTCATAATTACACTTAGCCCAGGAAAGTAAGCCCACAGTTTCAATATCTATTCCAGGGAGAAACATTTTTAGGAAAACCTTTAGATCGTATTAACAATTTTTTAGTCTCAATTCAAGAGTGCATACAACTACACTATTGTGTGTTTACACAAACACACAGTATCTTCTACAGGAGGCTGTAGAAAGTACTACATGTGGGGGAGAAAAGGGGTTTGGGAGTCAGATCACTCTAAGATTGGATCTCAATCAATTGCTAAGATGTACTGGTCCAGGATTTAGCTCAGTGGTTCCCCCGCCTGCCTCACAAACACCAAGTCCCAAGTCCGATCCCCCATACCAAAAAAAAAAAAAAAAAAAAAAAAAAAGTAAGATGTATGACTTAGGAAAAAAAAAATCACTTAACCTCTCTGATTATCTTCCAAAATTAAATCTTGTAATAAACATAACCTTAGGACTTGGCACATTGTAGACAATCAACAAATGTGGTTTCCGATACCCAGTCAGTCACACGGTGCCTTGGGCTCAGTGGTGGGATTTCAATACTCAAAGCCTCCTTGATGATGACAAAACAAATGCATAGAGCTCCATTGCATACAGTTCTTGTCAACCTTTACTCTTGAGCAATGGAAAACATTTAATGACACCAAAGCAGAAGTTAATCTAGCTTCAAAAAAATTCAAAAAGTGTATATGATCTGATATCAATGTGTAAACAAATTTACAAAGTTGAAAACAATCAAAAATTCTAGTCTACAGTGACAATTTAAATGAAGAGGCACAGAATGGCAAAAGCCTGGGAAATGCGATCCTCCTCACGAATGGCCTGCAAACCTCATTTCTCCCGGGGAGTTGGGCCACAACTGGCACCAGGCAGCTGCTCCCAGTATTTCTCAGCAGGGAGCCCACAGCTCTTCCAAGTAGCAGAGTGAAGGCTGCGACTCCCTTCTAAAGGCAATTCTTTAGAAGCTTCTGCTGCAGTGGCATTTGCATAACAGTCTTGCCTCAATAGTGCCTTTTTCCCCCCAGAAATAAATCTGTGCATGTAAATTGATCAAAGAACTATCCCAAGCAGCTCTTACTCATTAGACTCTGGTCTTAACGGATGAAACACTGATCCTTTGAGTTCCTATCTATAAAAGATTTGGGGGTTAGAAAATGTTCTCTACACACTGGTAGGGAGAAAGGATTTATTAACAAGGAACTGTAAGTGAGGAAGAATAAAGCAGGCGGGCAGAAGAGTCACACATGACAGCACAGACTCTGAAATGCAGCCTCCAGGGCTGGACGCTGGCTCTGCCTCTCACTAGTGGGAGCAAAGGAACTGCTTGCTCTGTGCCTCAGTTTCCTCATGTAAAAATGAGATCATAACTGTACCTACCTTGTAGTAGTAGTGAGTTGATACTCATAAAAGGCTCAGCACAATGTCCAGCACATGGCAAGTGCCATATCAGTATGCGCTAAATACAAAAAATCACTGATAATTACAAACCTCATAGTAAAACCTTTAAACTCACCACTCGACAATCAGCGGAGGAAGACAGACATGGCTCAACTGCATCCTTCTGCAACACTTACTGAAGACCCTTTCTAGCCAGTACAGGAAGAAATGGGGAAGGCAGGGAGAGAAACGCTCTATCCCGGTCTTCCCCGGCTAGATTCTCACTGGTGACTTCCAGGAACTCCAATCACTGCCAACTAATCTGGAGATGTGAACTGTACTCTGCAGAATTAGCAAACTAACTTAGGTCCTTCCTGCTAGTGAAGAAGCAGATCCCTTCAAACAGCAAACTTCTGCTGGGCAACAATGGCATGTCTTACCCACCAATATAATCTGATATGGGAAAAGCGGGGGGGGGGCAAGCAATTGAGACAGTCATGTGAACACAAACGACCACCTTATTTCCTTAAAGAAATAAAACGGGACCATGGTAACAACAAAAGGGTAAAAAGTCTGAAAATTCGTATCTACTAGTCATTTTTAAGCAGAATATATTTAATGATTTTATGTACATCTTCCAGTTAAACTTTAAGGACTAACTCTAAGGACTTATTTCTAAGTGATTCTTTCTTACTCTCAGCAAGATAATATTTTACCTCACCTTACAAAGCTTCAAAATTTAAATATCTTTCTTTTTTTTTTTTTTTGGTTTTTTTGAGACAGGGTCTCACTATGTAGTTGAGACTGACCTGGAACTCACTATGTAGCCCAGGCTGGTCTCAAACTCAGAGTGATTCTCCTGCCTCAGCCTCCCGAGTGCTGGGATTACAGGTGTGCACCACCATGCCTGGTTTAAATTTATATATCTTGATGGTGATCATTTCTTCTTTCCTTCTTCTCCCTTTCAATAAATCAAATAAACACCTGACAGACTAAAAACCTAACTAAGCATCTACAACATACCAGGAGCCTTTTAAGTATGCTATAAAAGAATTTTCTGGTCACAAAGATAAAGACCAACAATATAAAACAATTCCAGGATGATAAAAGCTAACTAAAGACAACAATACCAAATCATGACCAGAAAGAGAACAAAATCAGAGGTTCCGTTTATACAAAAACTTCGCAGATGAGGGGGAAACCAGAACTGGGACTCAGAGATAGGATACCCATCTGCAGAGGTTTCTACAGAAAAGAGGAGAAACAGAAATCTCAAAAACAGACACAACAGCCACTTCCAAGGTTTCTGTCCTTGAAGACCAGGTAGGCCTCTTTCACATGATAGCCAGTCCCCAAAGATTCAGACAAAAGACAAGGCCCCAGAGTCCTGAGACCTGCCCAGTGTCTCCCAGGTACCTGGCAAGGCAATGCCTGAAACCCTCAACTGAGGGTCAGAGATGGTTAGTGTGACTCAGCGACACAAACTCTAGGTGGCTTTACCAAGGTACTTTCTCCCTCCAGGGTTTCATGCCTCCTAGTGAAAACTGGAATGAGAGCTGGGCATGGTGGCACATGTCTAAGATCCTTGCACTCTAGGAGGCTGAGGCAGGAAGATTACAAGTTTAAACCCAGCCTAGGCAATTTAGCTTCTTAGCCAGACATTGTCTCAACATACGAAATAAAAAAGGACTGGGAAGGTAGCTCGGGAGTAGAGTGTAGCTTGGGAACGTAGCCCCTGGGAGTTAGAGAAGCATCGGTTAGAGGATGGGGATACTTCCAGGTTTCTTGTGGCTTTAAAGTTAAAGCCTCCAAGCCAGAGATACTGACATTCTGTCGGTTTTTGCCTTTTCTTGATGAATAGATGAGTTGGAGTGGGAAAGAAGATCAGGGGATCTAGGCTTGCACACTGCCAAGCCACACAGGAGACAACAACCTCGGTCGGGCCCTCCCTGGACTCACCTAAGTGGACATGTGCGGACACCTGCACTCCGAGCTCTGACTGGGGGCTGTCACTGCAGTGTCTCCTTTAGCCAGGCAGCCTTGACCCAGGAACAACTTGGAGGTGCTCAAGAAGCAGAACCAAGCCCCTACACCCCTAGCGTGGTAGAGGCAACACTTCCTGAGCACTTACTAGGTGCTAGATTGCCCTGAGCACTTCACAGGAATCCACTGCAGCAGTCCTCAGAACTCTAAGCACTATTTTTATGCCCCTCCATCTTTCTCTAAAACAGATGAAGAAACAAAGAAGACACTTGTCCAAGTGGTAGAACTTCCTACTCAAACTCCGGCAGTCTGGCTCCAGATTTTTGGGGGAATTGGGCAGAGGGATGGTGGTACTAGGGATCAAACTCAGGGCCTTGCATGCTAGCTAAGCACTCTACTGCTAAGCTGCATCTATCACCCTTTTATTTTTCATTATTTTGAGACAGGGCCTTGCTAAGTTGTGAAGCTGCACAGCTAGGCTTGAACTTGCCATCCTCCTGTCTCAGCCTCTCAGCGTGCTGGGATTATAGGCATGTGCCACCATGCCTGACTCCCAGCACTTTTTACTTGGAGACAGTATCACAAAACTGCCCAGGTGGCTTCCAGCTTGCAAACCTACTGCTTCAGCCTCCCAAGAAGCTGGGTTTAAAGTTATGTGGCACTGGGCTTAGCTAGTTTGTGATTTTACACTGTACTGATCTACTTCAAATAGTGCCTTCTATTTTTTCAAATGAATAAAGTGAGAGAAAGTTCATCTTCCTTGTTGTAAACACACTATCAGATTCCATAAATCTTTGAGGCAGGTATCATCATCCCTAATTTACAAATAAGAAAACTGAGGCTCAGAAAGGTAGAGTGACTCACCCATTTAGCAGGACAACTGGCACTGAAACTCAAATTTCTTGGCTCACAACCTAGTACTCTGTGCACAGAACTATAATGCAAGCATCCTATTTAAGCTTCCTCATTAAATACTTTGGGGTCCTATGAGGCAGCAGAAACAGAGGGGAAGCAGAAACCTTCTCCTCCAGAAGCTTACCTTCCAGGGGTATGGATGGGCAAATAATCATGACCAAATGTGTGCTTTGCTGGGGTGTGCACCCAAGGCTGAAGAACACAGAGGTGGCCACATAACCCACACTAACACAGAGGACAAGGCCAGGGATGTAGCTTAGTGGTACCATGCCAGCCTGGCATGCCCAAGTTCCTGAGTTCGATCCCTGGTACCAGAAAAAAAAAAAAAAAAAAAAAAAAAAAAAAAAAAAAAAAACACAGAAAACAACTGAAGCCTGGCTTGGAAAGCAAGGCCAGGTGAAGAAAAGGCCAGAGCAGGGACAGCCTGGGCACCAGGGAGAAATGACAGTAATTCCACCTACCTAGAACACAGGGTACTCACAGGGGTGTGGTAAGAAAGGAATCTGGGTGCCTGGAAGATCAGAACCAATCAAGATAGACCCAGAGAACCATGATAAAGGAGCCTGGGCCAACCAAGAAAATCTCTGTGTATCAGGGTGTGGAGAACTCCAGATGCAGAGAAGATGGTACTCTGCATGAAACTGCTGCTGGCTCAATGCAGCCTCTGAAAATCTGCATGGCTTGGGTGTTCAGTAACATCCACAACGCAAAATGAACTTATAGGAATCAAGTTTTTATCCAAGACAATAAAATCTTCTTCCCAAGAACCTGCCACTCCGGCCCCTCTTATCTGGCAGGTAAGTTTTACCGTATGTCTGCCTCTTCCAATGTGCCTCTTGGATTCAGTATATAAAATGGACACGGTGCAACCTGTACAAGTCAAACTAAGACTAGAAAGATAGGAAATAGCTGCAGCATGAGGAAAAAGACACTAAGAAAAATAGTCCTTTCACCTTACCTCAGTAATTCCCTGAAAAAACAAAACAAAAAAAAGGTGCAGGGGCCAAACAAGGCCTACAGGATTATATCCAGCTCTAATGTTCCATAATTTCATTTGCAATATATTCTCAGTATCCTAAAGGTAATACATTATCAATTCTAAGATGCATATTTTCCCTCTACTTTAACATCTCTGAAATCAGGCTATTTTTGTCACAGTTTAACAGACGGCATTTTTTTCTTTCTTGGTGTTAGGGAAGATTTTTGACTTACAACCAAGGACCATTAGGTATGCTTACATTAATATTACCCTGGTTTCCCTTTCCCAGCAGGCCAAAAAGTTCAGAGAACTCAGAAGAAAGACATGGCTGGAATGTGGCCAGGGACATTCCTTGATTACTTGGGAAAAACTCTCCTCTAAACTCAGCTTTTACTACCCCAATTGGTAATGTATGTGCGTTCCTGTCCAGGCTGTGAGTTTGCTGAGGGCAGAGGTTCAATTTGATTCATTTAATTTCCAAGGTCCCTGAAGATCTGCCAGGTTGCAGTGGATGCAACTGATAAATGCTGTGGCTGAAGAGAGAGAGAAAAAATCTACCCCCAGGAAGGCCAGCAATGGCCACCACCAGTAGCTTAGGCCACCAGTGGCGAAGGAACTGGCCACCCAATATCCTGAGTCCCCCTCCCTGGGATTGGGACACTGAGATTACCACTCACCAGCACATCTCTGAAGAGTAACTGAGGCCCGGAGTGCACTGTCCAGTCCACCGCGCCACTATTTGGAATCTTGATGCGAATCACCAGCACCTGGTTCTCCATGGCGCTGTAGGGGCCAAAGGCCAGCCACAGCATTATAGGTAAAAGGGGCTCACATTCTGTCCCCTGGGTAGGAGGGGCTCCAAGAGGTGACAAGAAGGGCAGAGGGTGAAAACTGAGGACGCGAGGGCAAGGGATGCCCAGGAAGGGGCCCGCAGGCACAAGCCAGGCCCAGGCTCTGTGGGGTTGGATGGGGTTCCCAGGGTAGGTGCCCTGGAGATTGGCAGGGGCCAGGAGGAACCAGAGGTCTGGAGGTTGTGGAGTTAGACAAGAGAGCAAACGGAATCGTGACGCTCTGGGCGGTCAGTGTGGATGCGAGGAGACTGCCGAGCAAGGACCCCACTGGGGCACACACACCGGCAGGTGTCCGCCCCTCTGTAGTGGCCCAGGGGAGGGTCCCGGACCTGACGGGACTCGGTCCAGGACTATTAGGAAGGAGCCTTGGGGCTGCCGGACCCGGAGAAAGCCGAGGGGGACCCGGGGCGGAGGGCCAGGGAGCAAGTCCTCTGCCTCCCGGGAACCAGAGAGCGCGGAGTTTAAGGGCTCAGCCCCCGCTACCCGAAGCCGCTCGAACAGGCTGCGGCGGTGGCGGCGAGAAGAGGAGGAAGGCGGCGGCGGGCGCACTGTTACTCCGGAACCAAAACGCGCCGGCGCCGGAACCCCGGGAGCCGACGTGAGGGACCCGCCTCCTGTGGCGCCATGTTGGAAGAGGGCAGCTCCGGGCGGGCAGCACCGTCGGAAGGCTGCGGAGCGTAAATCCTGCGCGCTCACCAGACCCTCGGTTCCCAGTGAGGCGAAGGCTCTTTCTCGATGCTTGTTAAAGGCTGAGACGTGAAAACATCTAACAGAGGACGAAATTAATATAGGGTTAGAGTCTGCCTAAAGCCAATTAAAGGCTTAAAATTGCGTATCGCTTGACTTCGAAAAGGGGACTGCGCCTCTCTTTTATCCACACTTCGTCAAGCCTTGCTGATTTGAGCCTCAACAGCAGCAAGTCAAGAACTAAAAGAATTGAAAGGTTCTCCTCTTATTCCAAGTCAGAGGTCCGGAGGATCATCTGCCTTGCACATTAGCAGGACGCATATGAATTTTTAGTGAGGTCCCCTAAGAGTGCCCTAAAAATACGATACAGCCCCCAAGTCAAAAGCAATGGTAAAGAAACTCAGTAAGGAGTTTAACTGCTTGGGAACAGCTGCAGGAATAGCCTCGTAATCTCTTAACAGTTGCAAAAAAATCAGGTCTAGACCATATATTTTCAAAATTGCAGTTGCTGGGCTGGGGATTTAGCTCAGTGGTTCTGCTGCCTGCCTTGCAAGCGCAAGGACTTCAGTTCTATCCCCTGTACAAAAAAAAAAAAAAAAAAAAAAAAAAAAAAAAAATTGCAGTTGCTTATGCCAGAATTTGTTTACAAGTGACAGCATGTAGCTTCGGCCTTCCTCTTTTTGTAATGAAAGTGTACCTATCAGCTTTACTTTTGGAATTTGAATTTTTCATAAAATCAATGAGGAATAGTGTCTCTTTCCTCTCGAATAGATAAGTTGATTAATGTAAGAAAGCAAAAAATCTAAAAGTTGATCATTTTTAGTATAATTTTTAGTATAATATCATTTTTTCTGAATAATTTTCACTGCCCAAATTTCGTTTATATTTAATTTGAAAGACCACTGCCGGAGATAAATTATCACCTTTTAGTTGCTGTAACTTAATAGTTTAGGTAGAAATTCATTTAGTCGGATCCTCTAGGTATTGTACGAATCCCTCTTCCATCCTGCATTTCAGTCCTGAAAAACCCTTCATCCAAGGTCCTGATGTACTTTTTATTGAAAGTTCATTTCCCATTATTTGAGAAAATAGACCACAAAACTAGCGATTTTCTATGTACCTATGATTTGTTTAAATGTCCTTTTTATTCATAGTACCATAGGGAAAACCAACTCCATTTGCCAAATTTGCATACATATTCTGAAGCTTTTCTAACACAAATGGAAAACTATAATTCTTTTTCAATATTTGCAGTCAATATAATCACATTTCAGTTAGCCTTCATAGAGTAAAAAATCTTAACTTTGATGGTTTGAACAAGGATATTCCAGAAGTCTCTTAACTCTTATTGTAAGATATATCAGTCACAGATAATACTAGGCAATTTTATAATGATCTTGAGATAAAATACTTTATATCTTTACTGCATAAATAAGCTCTGTTATCTAGATTCAAGGTATATTTAAGAGCATTGAACTTATGCACATGGTACGCTTTTTTCTTTCTTTTTTGATAGTGTAGGTAACGTCAGGTAGTCACTTAGCACTGGCTGAGTTACTTTGTAGCCATAAAGCAGACTGTGGTAGGAAATCTGTCCTCACTTGTATTTTTTCTTTTTCTTTTTTGGTTTTATTTATTTATTTATTTTTGGTTTTTTGAGACAGAGTCTCACTATGTAGTTGAGACTGACCTGGGACTCACTATGTAGCCCAGGCTGGTCTCGAACTCACAGCGATCCTCCTGCCTCAGCCTCCCGAGTGCTGGAATTACAGGTGTGCACCACCACACCCGGCCTCACTTGTATTTTTTATTGAAGGGCAATTATAATTTGGATATGACATGTCTCCCAAAGGCCATGTGCTGAAGACTTGGTCCCCAATCTGTGGCATTGTTGGATGTGGTAAAACCATTAAGAGAGGAGGCCTAGTGGGAAAAAGTTATCTCATTGGGAGTGTGACCTTGCAGGGGATATTGGGAGTCCCACCCCTTCCTTTTTTCTTGTTTCCATCTGCCATAAGGGCAGCAGATTTCTTCTGCAATGCACTACCCACCCTGATGTTCTGCCCCACCCCAGGCCCAAAATCAATGCTGCCATTGACTGAAACCTTCGACGCTATGAACCAAAATGAACTTTTCCTCTTTGCAATGTGTTTACCTCAGGTATTTTGTTTCAGTGGTGAAAATCTAACACCAGGAACTTAGAAATGTAATGGAGAATCCCTCTCTCCATAAAATTATATTCTGATGGCAGAAACAGAAAAATGAGTAAAATATAGGTCCCACAGTGGTAAGTGCTAGGAGAAAAATTACCCCAGAGAGAATCATGAAAACTGTCGCGAGCCGCGACGTCGGGGTCCTGCCAGCAGGTCCCAAACCCGAGGGAAGAACAGGGGAGCAGTTTCACGAACTTAGTTCCAGGCTCATGCTCTCTTCGTAGCAAGGCCCCGTTTATTTTTCAACGTGGGGTATATATAGGCTAAAACCGAAACCAAAAATACAAACAGGGTGTAGCAGACTGGAAAATTCACAAGGTTCTACAAAACAAGTATTATGGGCTACATTTGCTAGGCAACAGGTCAGACCACCAGTTGAACTAGCCCATTGCTATGGGCGACAGCACGTCCGTGCTGGCGAGGTGACTCAAAGTTCAATCATGGCCAGGCCTATGTCAAGGCTTACCATGATGGCTCACCATAAAAACAAAGCAGGCCACCCATGTGATGGCAATGGGAAAATTCCCCCATATTGTCTCCTACCTGCTGGTAAACTTAATGAATAGAGACACTTCTGCAAAGTGTCTGGTTTCAAATTTTTAAAATTTACGATAAAATAGACATAACATCAAACATACCATCCTAATCACTTTGAAAAGTATGTCATTCAGTAGTGTCCAGTATGTTCACATTGATGTAAAACCAATCTCCGTAACTTTTTTCACCTTTCAACACTGTAAAAACGTTTAGTCCCTGACATTTTTTCTATATCTATGTGTTTAATCTGAATGCATCATACAAGTAGAATGATGCAATAGTTGTCTTTTTGTGTCGGGCTTATTTTACTTACAAGAGTGTCTTCAGTGTGCATCCACATTCTAGCATGTGTCAGAAGTTCCTTTCTTATCAAGGGTGAAATAAGACAACTAAATATACACACAGAATTGTGTTTATCCATTCATCCTTTGGTAGACACTGGGATTGCTTCCACTTGCGGCAACTGTGAACAATGCTACTATGAATATATGTGTAAAAATCCTATTCCAGGACTAAGGGTGTAGCGTAGTGGTGGAAGGTGTCTTAACATTTTCAAAGACTGGTTTGATTTCCAGTACCAAAAGAAAACAAAGTAAAATAAACCAGATCCTGTTTTGCTTTCAATTCTTCTAGATATTGCATTAGCCTGTTTTTCATTGCTATAATGAAATACCTGAGCCAGGCTTACTTTATAAAGAAGAGGTTTATTTACCTTACAGTAATTTGGGGAGGTTCAAGGACATTTAGCGGGCATCAGCTCTGTTCTGGTGAGGATCTCACCGAAGACAATGTTACAATAGAGGGCTCTTGTGTGGGAGGAAGGGATTACTGCTCAATACAGGAAGCCAGAGAGACTTGGGCCAAACATCCCCTTCTAGGGGAAGCTCCCCAGTAACCTACAGATCTCCAAGTAATCCCTCCTCTTAAAGGCCCATCACTTCCCAGTACTGCTTCCCTCTGTGCAAGTCTTGAACACATGAACTTGTGGGAGGAATGCATTTATATACAAACCAGAGCAGATATAGTCCCAGGAGTAGAATTGCTGTATCATATTTTCTGTTTAATTTTTTTGAGGAACCACCATAACATGACATAGCTGTACCATTTTATATTCCCACTCAAAATGCCTAAGTGTTCTAGCTTCTCCACATCTTCACCAATACTTGTTATTTTCTTGTTTTGCGTTTTGTGGTCAAATTATTGGGTGTGAGGTGATATTCATTGTGATATTGGTTTGTATTTAATAATTTCCAGCATTCAGAATCTTTTCATAGGCTTGTCCATTTGTATATATTCTTTGGAGAAATATCTTTTCAAGCCTTTTGCTGATTTTTAAATCATTTTTGGTGGTGTTGTTTTAAAATGTTTTTGGGGGGCTGGGGGATTTAGCTCAGCGGTTTCGCTGCCTGCCTTGCAAGCACGAGCACAAGTTCGATCCCCAGTACCAAAAAAAGAAAGAAAAAAAATTTTAATAAGGAAAATTACATTTTGGTACTCTAAATTCTGAGTGGTTTTCTTTCATTGCTTATTATCTTGCTCTCCATCTTGAATCCTTAGTCCAGAAGCTGAACCCTCCCATCACCACTGCTACTTCCTTAGTCCAGAGTGTTCCTTCCTTATCTTCTGTTTTCACCCTTGACTGTCCTGTAAATATTCTGCTCTCAACCTCCTTGTCAGAGTGAGATCAGCTCATTTGTTTGGTTAAAACTCTCCAGATGGCTTCCTACCTTATGGAGAGTCAATGTCACAGTCTTCTCATTGACCTACAAAAATCTACCCATTCCACGAAATGACCTCTTCTGAACTTTGTGTTGTTCTTGATGTTGGGTGCTGGTCATTGACCCAGAGCCTCACACATGCATGCCTCTACCACTGATCTATCCCCCAACCCCTCTTCTGAACTTTAGAACATCAATTTCTGCTACTCTCCCTCACTCACACCAGCCTCCTTCTCAATGTTCCTTGAACACATTGGGCATCCCACCTCAAGGCCTCTGTGTTTGCTACTTTCTCTACTTGGACTGCTCTTATCCCAGATAACTGCATGGCTCCTTCCCTCACAGGTCTTGGATCCAATGCCACCTTCTTCCTGAGGCCTTCTGCAACTCCAGACCTATCCATACACCCTTTGGCACAAGCGTGAAGGTGAGCATGATTGCATGATTCCTAGTCCCTTTCTCTTGTTACTATTTCTCCTATTTAACATATTTCCCTGGAAACTGGGTCCTGATGCATGCAGCAAGGAACTGGAACCTCACTTCCTTGGTCCTTGGCTCTTTATACGCTT